AAGTGTAATCAGCCAGGGCATCGAGCAGCGCAGTGTAAAGTAGGGACTCAAGTCAAAACGGAAGAAAGAACCAATGTGGTTCAGACGGAGAAAATAATTCCGAAGCATTCTCGTACATCTTGTGGTTTAGAAGTAAAGTCCGTATTTTGTTCGAATGTTGAGTTCAAAGGACTTGTAGATACCGGAGCAGAGTTGTGTTTAATGCGTAGGTGTGTATTTTTAAAACTTGATATAGGCGTTGGCAGTTTGATTGGCAGGCAAAGAGTTTTGACTGGAATTGGAGAAAGTCAGGTGCTGACTTTTGGCAGTTTCAAAGCACCAGTTAGTATCGATGGCATAGAAATGTGGATCGAGTTCCACGTGATTCCAGATGAAGACATGAAATTTGATGCAATTTTAGGCACTACAATTTTAAAAAATGTTGACATGATGGTCACACAGAAAGGAACCGTGTTTTCAAAGAGAGTTCAAAGTGTGCAGCCAGCAGAGGTTCAGGGAAGGGAAAGTTCCTGTATGCAGCTTATGAACGAATTTGGCAGCCTTTGTATGTTAAGTACCGAAGATCATAAGTCAAGCTTGAAATTGGATCATTAAAAGGAAAATGTCGCTGTTGAAGTACAGTTGTTGGTGGAAAATTACAAACCAAAGAAAAACCAACGTTCACCTGTAGAAATGAAATTTTGCTGACAGACGAGTTGCCGGTTTTTCAACATCCAAGGCGTTTGGCCCATTGTGATCAAAAGATTGTAGATGATCAAGTGGAGGAATGGCTTAGGGAAAAATTAATCAAACCAAGTACTTCAGAGTTTGCTTCACCAATTGTTTTGGTAGACAAGAAGAATGGGAAGAAGCGTTTATGCTGCGATTACCGGAAACTGAACGAAAAGATAGTCAGAGATAATTTCCCAACAGCACACATGGATTGCGTTTTAGAAAAACTTCAAGGTGGAGAGGTTTTCACAACTTTGGATTTGACAAATGGATTCTTTCATGTTCCTGTGTCTCCAGAATCTCAAAAGTACACATCATTTGTAACCATGGGCAGTATGAGTTCATGTTTGTACCTTTCGGTATCACAAATTCTCCAGCAGTGTTTACCAGGTTTATAATGGGTGTTCTTCGAGAGGCGATAAGAAACGATGATGCAGTAGTGTACATGGACGATGTGATCATTGCCAGCAAAAGTGTAGATCAGGGCTTGGAGAAATTAAAGCGAGTATTGAAAGTGGCAGAAGAAAGTGGCTTGCGTATAAATTGGAGCAAGAGTCAGATATTGAAGGACAGAGTAAATTTCCTAGGATATATCGTGGAGATGGGTACAATAAAACCAGGTGAAGAGAAAACAAGAGCGGTTGCAAATTTTCCGATCCCACGAGATAAAAAGGGAATTCAAAGGTTCTTAGGTTTGACTTCGTATTTTAGAAGGTTCGTAGAAAATTATGCCGTGATTGCTAAGCCATTGTCCGATCTGTTACGTAAAGAAACTAAGTTTGAGTTCAAAGAGAAGCAAGTTGAAGCATTTGATAAATTAAAAACAGCGCTAATCAATGGGCCTGTTCTTAAGTTGTATGACCCTTCACTCGAAACGGAAATTCATACTGACGCTTCAAATTTTGGATTCGGAGCTGTGTTGCTTCAGCGTGACAAGGAAGATAGCTTGTGGCACCCAATTTTCTATATGAGTCGGAAGACCAAGCCGTGCGAAGAGAAGTACCATTCTTATGAACTGAAAGTGCTTGCAGTTATTGGAGCTTTGGTTAAGTGGCGAGTCTACGTTCTTGGGAAAAGATTTAAAATAGTCACCGACTGCAAGGCGTTTGCCATGACCATGAGAAAGAAAGAGATTCCGCTCAGGGTATCTCGTTGGGCAATGTACCTTCAAGACTTTGACTATCAAATTGAACATAGGTCAGGTAATAAGATGAGACATGTAGATGCGTTGAGCAGGGTGTTTTGTTGCGTTGTGACAGATAGCTTAATACACCGTTTGCGAGAAGCTCAGCTATCAGATGGTTGGACCAAGGCTGTGAAGAGTGTTGTCGAAACAAAACAGTATGAAGACTTCTATGTATCAAATCGAATCTTATTCAAAGATCCGAATAGGGAGCTGCTTGTAGTTCCATCGCTTATGGAAGACGAAATCATACGAAACGCCCACAAGCAAGGACACTTTTCATCAAAAAGACGCAAGAATTGGTCGAGAAGTCTTATTTCATTCCCAAGCTGAGAGAGAAGATAGCGAAGATTGTTGAGAGCTATGTAGAGTGCATTTTAGTGAATACAAAAGCTGGAAAGCAGGAAGGGTTTTTGGCGCCGATAGACAAAGGGGACAAACCGTTGGTTACTTACCATATTGACCATGTTGGCCCGATGGAAGTAACTAAGAAGCGCTATAACCACATTCTCGTCTTAGTCGATGCTTTCTCAAAGTATGTATGGTTATACCCTACACGGAGCACTGGGGTTGAAGAAGTTTTGAGTTGTTTGGAGCGCCAATCAGTTCCTTTTTGGTAACCCATACAGAATCGTGTCAGATAGAGGGGCTGCATTCACTTCACACCTGTTTAAGGAGTATTGCGAAAAGGAGAAAATACAGCACTTGCTAATCGCGACAGGAGTTCCCAGGGGTAACGGACAGGTAGCGCGTATGCATCAGATAGTGGTCCCGCTGCTATCGAAACTGAGCCAGGAAAATCCAGGGTGCTGGTATAAACAGGTAGGCAGAGTGCAACAGGCGATTAACAACACTGAGCCGAGGAGCACGAAAGTCGCCCCGTTCAAATTGGTAACTGGATTGGATATGCGTGTTTCAAGTAATCAGGAATTGAAAGAGCTTATCGAAGATTGTCTGATTTCTGAGCTACAGGATGAAAGGGAAAAGCTACGAGAGATAGCAAGGCAGAATATTCAGGATATTCAAACAAAAAATAAAACGGCATTCGACTCTAAAAGAAAGGTAGAACGTAAGTTTGAGTTGAATGATTTGGTTGCTATTAAACGCACCCAATACGGGACAGGCTTGAAGCTGAAAGGAAAGTATTTAGGACCATACAAAGTAGTCAAGGTCAATAATCATGGACGTTACGACGTGGAAAGAATAGGGCAAGGAGAAGGGCCTTATAGGACTAAGACAGTTGCAGAGTATATGAAACCATTCGGGTCGAATCAAGCATCAGGAAGGCCGAATGTGGGATCCGGTAGTGTTGGTAGGGTGGCCAAAGTTACCAGAAGCGGACTCACATACTAAGTCTCTGATTCCCTTCGATACAATATACTAAAAGGGAGTAATCGATTGCAGATAAGTCTGGCATCTCCTCGCAAAGGCATTCGCCGCCAGAATCTCGTTTTGCTCGGACGTTCTAAATTAAGATAACCACGTTTTGTTAAATTAGGATTGAATTAAGTTACAAGTTACCAGTTAAATGTATTAAACAATATCATTAAATCAAAGCCGGTGTTACAACTTTTACTAAAGAGGACACTACATTACTTTAAAATATTTTATAATATTTTATGAAAATCGGACCCTATAGCTCCCATAGGCACGATCTTAAAATTAATACAATTAAATATTATAACTTTTTCAGTTTTCAACAGAATTAAATCAAAATTGAGATGTAGCTATTTTATTATACTTTAAAATTTTGTGTACAATTTTATGAAAATCGGATTACTATATCCTATAGCTCCCATTGGAACGATCAAGAAATTAATAAAATAAAATTATAACATTCTCAGTTTTCAACGGAATTTAATCAAATTTGAGATATAGCAATTTTATTTTACTCTACAATTTTTTGTAAAATTGTATGATAATCGGACTACTATATCATATAGCTCCCATAGGAAAGATCGAGAAATTAATACAATTGAAAATTATTACTTTTTCAGTTTTTAATTTTGTGTACAATTAATACAATTAAAAATTATAACATTCTCAAATTTACACAGAATTTGATCAAATTTAAGATAAAGCCTTTTTATATTATTTTACAATTTTAAGTAATATTTTATGAAAATCGAATTACTATATCCTATAGCTCCCATAGGAACGATCGAAAAATTAATACAATTAAAAATTATAAGATTTTTACTTTTCAACAGAATTTGATCAAATTTGAGATATAGCCATTTTATATTACTTTACAATTTTGTGTAAAATTGAATGAAAATCGGACTACTATATCATATAGCTCCTAAGGAACGATCGAGAAATTAATACAATTAAAAATTGTAACATTTTCAGTTTTACACAGAATTTGATGAATTTTAAGATAAAGCCTTTTTATATTATTTTACAATTTTAAGTAATATTTTATGAAAATCGGATTACTCTATCCTATAGCTCCACATAGGAACGATCGAAAAATTAATACAATTAAAAATTATAACATTTCCAGTTTTACACAGAATTTGATCAAATTTGAGATATAGCTATTTTATATTACCTTAAAATTTTTATAATATTTTATGAAAATCGGACTACTATATCCTATAGATCCCATAGGTACGATCTAAAAATTAATACAAGTAAATATTATATATAATACAATTAAAAATTATAGCTTTTTCAGTTCTCAACAGAATTAGATCAAATTTGAGATAAAGCCATTTTATATTACTTTACATTTTGTGTAACATTTTATGAAAATCGGACTACTATATCATATAGCTCCCATAGGAAAGATCGAGAAATTAATACAATTAAAAATTATTACTTTTTCAGTTTTCAACAGAATTTGATCAAATTTGTGATATTGCAATTTTATATTACTCTACAATTTTTTGTACAATTTTATGAAAATCCGATTTTGATATCCTATAGCTCCCATAGGAACGATCGAGAAATTAATACAATTAAAAAATATGTGCTTGCGGAGACGCCGCGTTAAATATTTTTTGTTGTGCTCGCGAACGGTTCAAAAAAGCAAAAGTTTATTGTTTTTGAGTGCTCTCGAGTCCGCAAACGCTCAACGCCGTAAGAATAGAAAATAACAGTAATGCGAAAGACCCGTTCGCAGACGGCTCGCACGCTGGCGGAAAATGCCGCTACTTCTACGGGGCCCGGACAGCAATCAGCAGCGTTGGTGCTGACGGCAGTGAACACCTTTGATGCGGTCAAATACAAGGAATGTGAGCAAATGGTGCAGATGCTACGTGTGGTAGAGCTGCAAAAAATCTTGTCGTTTCTGAACTTCTCCTTCGCTGGACGAAAAACCGATCTGCAGAGTCGAATTCTGGCCTTTCTGCGCACCAACTTGGAACTGCTCGCCCCGAAGGTCCAGGAAGTCTACGCCCAGTCCGTGCAAGAGCAATCCGCCACACTGCAGTACATAGATCCAACCAGGATGTACTGACACATCCAGCTGCCGTCCGCCGTGCAGCAGAATCAGATGGGACTGGTAGGAGGGGGGCCCGGCGGCCAGGTGCCGGGCGGTCAGATACCCGTGGTCGGCGGCGTGCCTTTCTTACCCACGCACAGCATTAACAACACGCTGCCCATCCATCCCGACGTGCGCCTGAAAAAGCTCGCCTTCTATGATGTTCTCGGCACACTTATTAAGCCATCTACACTGGTACCTCGCAACACGCAACGTGTCCAAGAGGTGACCTTTTATTTTACTCTTACACCACAGCAGGCGACAGAAATAGCTTCAAATCGGGATATTCGCAACAGCTCAAAAGTTGAGCATGCCTTCCAAGTGCAACTACGCTTCTGCTTGGTTGAGACCTCGTGCGATCAGGAAAACTGCTTTCTACCGAATGTAAATGTGAAGGTCAACAATAAGCTGTGCCAGCTGCCTAATGTCATTCCTACAAACCGACCAAATGTGGAGCCGAAGCGTATGCCTCGTCCCGTCAATGTCACCTCCAATGTGAAGCTGTCGCCAACCGTCACGAACAGCATCATGGTGCAGTGGTGTCTAGACTACACGCGCAGCTACTGCCTAGCGGTCTATCTGGTGAAGAAGCTCACCTCAGCACAGCTCCTTCAGCGCATGAAAACAAAGGGTGTCAAACCGGTAGACTACACGCGGGCCTTAATCAAGGAGAAGCTGACAGAGGATGCAGACTGCGAGATAGCCATTACCATGCTTAAGGTGTCTCTCAATTGCCCATTGGGTAAGATGAAGATGCAACTGCCTTGCCGGGCCTCCACCTGCTCGCATCTGCAGTGCTTCGACGCAAGTTTATACCTGCAAATGAATGAGCGTAAGCCCACCTGGAACTGTCCCGTCTGCGATAAGCCGGCCATTTACGACAACTTGGTCATAGATGGGTATTTCCAGGAGGTGCTGAACTCAACATTGCTCAAGAGCGATGACACAGAGATCCAGCTGCATCAGGATGGATCCTGGAGCACACCAGGGTTGCGTAGCGAGGCGCAGATCCTTGATACTCCATCAAAGCCTGTACAGAAAGTTGAGGTCATATCAGACGATATAGAACTCATAACGGACGATGCCAAGCCAGTGAAGAGCGACTTGTCCCCAGCACCGGACGAACAGCCAACGTCCACGTCGAACAGTGAAACTGTTGATTTGACTTCGAGCGATTCCGACGACGACATGCCGCTGGCCAAGCGTCGTCCACCTGCAAAGCAAGCCGTTGCCAGTTCCACGTCGAACGGCAGCGGAAGCGGCCAACGTGCTTATACGCCGGGACAGCAGCCCCAGCAATCTAATATGAATGTTTTTAAGGCACCAACAAAACAACGATCTATTTACAAACCTGTTGATAGGCATTATTTAGACAAATGGTTTCGACCACGAAAACGCAAGGCAGACAGCTGCAGACGCCCTAAAGTGGGATGAGCAGCAGCAGCTGACTCTTTTTGGTTGATTCCAACAATCCCGAAATTTTCTCTATGTTGTGTTCCTCTGATGTTTTTTTTTTATGATTGTCAACGATTATTTAAAACTATGCCAAGCCATGTACCCGTATTTATGTGAAAATGTTAATAAATTACTTTTTCAGTTTTCAACAGAATTTGATCAAATTTGAGATATTGCAATTTTATATTACTCTACAATTTTGTGTAAAATTGAATGAAAATCGGACTACTATATCATATAGCTCCCATAGGAACGATCGAGAAATTAATACAATTAAAAATTAAAGTTTTTTCTGTTTTAAGCAGAATGTTATCAAATTTGAGATAAATCCATTTTATATTACTTTACAATTTTGTGTACAATTTTATGAAAATCGGACTACTATATCCTATAGCTCCCATAGGAAGGATCGAGAAATTAATACAATTAAAAAATATTACTTTTTCAGTTTTCAACATTGAGATATAGCAATTTTATTTTACTTAACAATTTTGTTTTAAATTTGTATGATAATCGGACTACTATATCCTATAGCTCCCATAGGAACGATCGAGAAATTTATACAATTAAAAATTGTAACTTTTCAGTTTTCAACATTGAGATATAGCAATTTTAATTTACTTAACAATTTGTTTTAAATTTGTATGATAATCGGACTACTATATCATATAGCTCCCATTGGAACGATCGAGAAATTAATACAATTAAAAATTAAAGCTTTTTCTGTTTTAAGCAGAATTTAAGCAAATTTGAGATAAAGCCATTTTATATTACTTTACAATTTTATGAAAATCCGATTACTATATCCTATAGCTCCCATAGGAAGGATCGAGAAATTAATACAATTAAAAAATATTACTTTTTCAGTTTTCAACAGAATTTGATCAAATTTGAGATATTGCAATTTTATATTACTCTACAATTTTGTGTAAAATTGAATGAAAATCGGACCACTATATCATATAGCTCCCATAGGAACGATTAATTAAAGTTTTTTCTATTTTAAGCAGAATGTTATCAAATTTGAGATAAATCCATTTTATATTACTTTACAATTTTGTGTACAATTTTATGAAAATCGGACTACTATATCCTATAGCTCCCATTGGAACGATCAAGAAATTAATAAAATTAAAATTATAACTTTCTCAGGTTTCAACAGAATATAATCAAATTTGAGATATAGCAATTTTATATTACTTTACAATTTTGTGTAAATTTGTTTTGATCAAATTGACCAACATTGAGATATAGCAATTTTATTTTACTTAACAATTTTGATTTAAATTTGTATGATAATCGGACAACTATATCCTATAGCTCCCATAGGAACGATCGAGAAATTAATACAATTAAAAATTAAAGTTTTTTCTATTTTAAGCAGAATGTTATCAAATTTGAGAAAAAACCATTTTATATTACTTTACAATTTTGTGTACAATTTTATGAAAATCGGACTACTATATCATATAGCTCCCATAGGAACGATCGAGAAATTTATACAATTAAATATTGTAACTTTTTCAGTTTTCAACAGAATTAAATCAAATTTGGAATGTAGCAATTTTATAATACTCTACAATTAAATATTATAACTTTTCAGTTTTCAACAGAATTAAATCAAATTTGAGATGTAGCTATTTTATTATACTTTACAATTTTGTGTACAATTTTATGAAAATCGGACTACTATATCCTATAGCTCCCATTGGAACGATCAAGTAATTAATAAAATTAAAATTATAACTTTCTCAGGTTTCAACAGGATTTAATCAAATTTGAGATATAGCAATTTTATATAACTCTACAATTTTGTGTAAATTTGTTTTGATCAAATTGACCAAAATTGAGATATAGCAATTTTATTTTACTTATTAAGTTTTGTGTAAAATTGTATGAAATCGGACTACTATATCATATAGCTTCCATAGGAACGATCGAGAAATTAATACAATTAAAAAATATTCATTATTCAGTTTTCAACAGAATTTAATCAAATTTGAGATATCCATTTTATATTACTTACAATTTTGTGTACAATTTTATGAAAATCGAAATACTATATCCTATAGCTCCCATAGGAAAGATCGAGAAAATAATACAATTAAAAATTATTACTTTTTCACTTTTCAACAGAATTTGATCAAATTTGAGACATATCCATTTTATATTATTCTACAGTGTTGTGTAAAATTGTTTAGATCAAATTGATCAAATTTGAGATATAGCAATTTATATTACTCTACAATTTTGTGTCAAAATCTATGAAAATCGGACTACTATATCATAAAGCTCCCATAGGAACGATCGAGAAATTTATACATTCTAAAATACATTATGAAAATCGGATTACTATATCCAATAGGTTCCATTGGATTGATCGAGAAATTAATACAATTACAAATTATTACTTTTTCATTTTCAACAGAATTTTATCAAATTTGAGATTTAGCAATTTTGTATTACATTACATTTTTGTGTTCAATTTTATGAAAATCGGATTACTATATTTTATAGCTCCCATAGGAACAATCGAGAAGTTAATAGAATTAAAAATTATAGCTTTTTCACTTTTCAACAGAATTTGATCAAATTTGAGATATAGAAATTTATTTTACTCTACAATTTTGTGTAAAATTGTATGAAAATCGGACTACTATATCATATAGCTCCCATAGGAACGATCGAGAAATTAATACAATTAAAAAGTTTTGCTTTTTCACTTTTTAACAGAATTTGATCAAATTTGAGACATATCCATTTTATATAATTCTACAATGTTGTGTAAAATTGTTTAGATCAAATTGATCAAATTTGAGATATAGCAATTTATATTACTTTACAATTTGTGTAAAATTCTATGAAAATCGGACTACTATATCATATAGCTCCCATAGGAACGATCGAGAAATTTATACAATTAAAAATTGTAACTTTTTCAGTTTTCAACAGAATTAAATCAAATTTGGAATGTAGCAATTTTATAATACTCTACAATTAAATATTATAACTTTTTCAGTTTTCAACAGAATTAAATCAAATTTGAGATGTAGCTATTTTATTATACTTTACAATTTTGTGTACAATTTTATGAAAATCGGACTACTATATCCTATAGCTCCCATTGGAACGATCAAGAAATTAATAAAATTAAAATTATAACTTTCTCAGGTTTCAACAGAATATAATCAAATTTGAGATATAGCAATTTTATATTACTTTACAATTTTGTGTAAATTTGTTTTGATCAAATTGACCAACATTGAGATATAGCAATTTTATTTACTTAACAATTTTGTTTTAAATTTGTATGATAATCGGACTACTATATCCTATAGCTCCCATAGGAACGATCGAGAAATTAATACAATTAAAAATTAAAGCTTTTTTTGTTTTAAGCAGAATTTAATCAAATTTGAGATAAAGCCATTTATATTACTTTACAATTTGTGTACAATTTTATGAAAATCCGATTACTATATCCTATAGCTCCCATAGGAACGATCGAGAAATTAATACAATTAAAAAATATTACTTTTTCAGTTTTCAACAGAATTTGATCAAATTTGAGATATTGCAATTTATATTACTTTACAATTTTGTGTAAAATTGAATGAAAATTGGACTACTATATCATATAGCTCCCATAGGAACGATCGAGAAATTAATACAATTAAAAATTAA